TGTGTGTGTGGTGTGTGTGTGTAAAAGGGGAGCCGCTCCCGAGCTTCCCCTCAGTGCAGCGACTGCCAAGGGCCCCCCAAAGGCTTGTACAGTTGACTAAGCTATAAATCGTGGCTTGCCAGCTCCCCACCCCCGCCTCCCCCCCAAAACATGAAGATTTCCACTCTGAACCCAGACCGAAAGGAATCCCTTTAGGGTTCATCCCAGGGACAGGCAATTAATTCTCCCAAGGGGCCGCATGACAAACTGGGACCCTGATTTTTCCTACTGTTTTCTTTTGTATTTTTGTATTATACTCTAATGAAAGCTGTGAACAGTGAGAAACTGGGAATGTTGCGGAGGCTGCGCACATAGGCTGAACTGAATTCTGCTCAGTTTTATCCTGTTATATTAAAAAACCAGTAAATTACATGGATTTGATTAGCTGCTACTGGTAAGAATACATGTTGCGTCTTATTTACATGTGATTTCTAATATCACAGACGGGACAAGGACAGCCAAAGGGCCACCAGATGCGATTTAGGAGCCGTAAAATCGCCTGGTCTGGTTTAGCCCAATCTATGAATGGAGATTACAATCTTACTGATTCTCTTCGTAGTGAGATGTGTTAGCTGTTTTCTTGGGATGTTACTAGAGAGAACAGATCCCAGCTCTGGCTCAAAAGGGTCACTGGAGAAAATGGCAGATTAGGGGATTGGTCCTGAAAATCCAGAAGACATAGTATGTTGAAGTTAAAATAAAAAACAAAATGCCTGCCAATTTGTGTGTGTTTGGGATGGGATGTGTGTGTGTTGGGGTGTGTGTGTGTGTCTTTTTGAAGTAGTTGGTTTCTCTGAACTGATAGATGGTTTCTTTTTTAATCAGGAAGTATGGAAATTTTGTAATGGCAGACTATTTGTCAGCATTAATCAGGGTTGAAACCAGATAGTTCCTGCATCTCAAAAATGCTTTCTTTTCCTGCTTTTCATCTCAGCAGATCATGTTTGGCAACTAACTTCCCAGAAGTGTGGGGGGTGGGGGGATATATTGTTGATTCAATGTGGTAAAGTTATGAATTAGAAAGTAAGAGTTCAGCTGGGTTATAAATGCCTTGGATTTAAATCCTTTAGTGGGAATAGATGAGAGTGACGGGGGGATGATCTATATGTGGTGCAGGGTTCAGAGTGGGTGATTAAGACATTCTATTATTAGCTGTACAGCCAGTCTCTGATCTGTAACTTAAGGATAGTAAAACTGATTTATACTGCGGTTGCGGTTTGTCCAACACACAAAGCAAGAGGTGTGGCAGATGTGCCATACTTTTCTTTGCATTGCTTATTACTCTTATCAATCTTTGGAGCTTGCCATATTGTCCCAAAGGTGCTTTTTTCAAGAGGCAACTGGATTTCTGGTTTTTCTTTGAGGACGTTTCGTGTCTCATCCAAGAAGTGTCTTCCTCAGAGCTGAAGAAGCTTCTTGGATGAGAAGTGAAATGTCTTCAGAGAAAAACCAGAAAATCTGGTTGCCTCTTGAAAAAGCACCTTTGGGATAAACATGACCTGGATGACTAAGAATCTCCATAGACACTTAACTTGCCATATTATACAATTTGGGATTGATCAGTATTTTGACTTTTTGCGTATGAGTTGTAATTTCTGGAAATTCTACGAATTATGGTTAAAGATCAATATATATTGGAGATTAAATGATGCATGCTTGTTTACTAAGCATTTTGATTTAGCCTACTTTCTGTAGACTGTGTGATAGCCTTCACATTTTGTGTCTGTGTTTGTTGATGCCTGGCAATTGACTTATATACCACTTCACAGTGCTTTACAGCCTCCTCTAAGCAGTTTTCAGAGTCAGCATATTGCCTCCAACAATTCCTGGCATTCCTAAACTAATCCAGTTTTTATTCTAGAGTTTTAAGCTATTTGTTGAGAGTCTGCTGAATTAAAGGACAACTTGTCTTCAGGAATCTTTACATAAATAAATTTACCTTTCCCAATTTTTTTTAGCCAAGTTCCCTTTTAACCTAGTTTTTTATCCTTTCAATTAATCAACCTTTATTTTCAGAGTACAATAATCTCATAAAAGGATTGAATCAATGTGTTCTGTAGTAATTAGTTTGGGGAATTGATTGGACTATCTTACTATGAAAGAGTGCGATATCAATGTAAAATAGATTTATAGATAGGATGGAGGAAAACTGCAGGAGAAAAATGCTCCATAAGTAAAAGATGTACCTGCAGACCTTGGTGTGCTGCTTCTGTTATTGTTATGTGTCATTACAGTTTTATATTTTTAAATCTTTTATCATGTGGCAACATCTAACTAAGCATATGAATACAGGCGTTACCTGAAAATTTTAGTTAGCTGTTAATTGGACTGGGCTGTCAAAAGAACATCTCAAAAGAAGAAAATAGCAAACTACAATTATATTGTAGCCAAGAAAACTACATGTATGTATCTGTGTGAGTCATCAGGAATTGGCTTGAACCCAAAGGCTTCTTTATTTTACACAAGCTCTAACACCAACATCTTAAATTCTACATGAATAAGTCACACATTCACAGGCAAGAGATAAGACCTGTTTTTTGGCCTGGTGTTTGACAGTAGCTAACCTGCACCTATTGTTTATCTCCCAGATGTGCCATGGAATCTTCCTAAAATAGGTATAGCATCCTCTAGACCAGCGGTCACCAACCAGTGGGCTGCGAGAAAATTTTGGTGGGCTGCAAAGAATCTCACCCCCAGAGCATCCCCCCCAAAACAATCAAGGCTGTGCAGAAACACAAGGCTGCACCGCGCACATGGCCCGCAGGAACCCTCCCCGCCCACTCACTCCTTACCTGGTAAACTTGCCTGCTAAATTTCTATTTTTCCTTTTTCCGACCATCATCTGTTCTGCTGTGCCAGGAGACTTAGATTAGCTAGGAAGCAGGAAATGGTTGTATTTCTTGCTTTGTAGGTAGTCTTTAGATCTTTGACTCTCCTTTTAAGTACAGCCAAACTTCCCTTGGGACTAAAGGTTTGCTTGCAAGTAGATTCAGTGCAGACTCACGGCAAGCAAATTTCAGAGACTGAGCTAGCTGATGGCAGATAGTTAGATCACTGAATGATTCTGTGAGCAACTCAATCTGCCTGCCTTATTTTGAGTAAAAGTTGCTCTTTTTAAAATAAAAAATTCAACATTTACATGCATGGTGTGTCGTGAGTTTGCTTGCAAGCAAACTTTATGTGACAGACTGAGCTGGCCAATGGCAGATAGATTTCTGAATAAATCTGATTTTGTGAGCAACTCAATCTGCCTGTCTGCTTTGCCTGATTTGGGGTAAAAGTTGCTCTTTTTTAAAAAAAAATCAATATTTATACACTGCTCAAAAAAATACAGGGAACACTTAAACAACACAATGTAACTCCAAGTCAATCACACTTCTGTGAAATCAAACTGTCCACTTAGGTAGCAACACTGACAATCAACTTCACATGCTGTTGTGCAAATGCAACAGGTGGAAAGCATAGGCAGTTAGCAATACATCCCCAATAAAGGAGTGGTTCTGCAGGTGGTGACCACAGACCACTTCTCAGTTCCTATGCTTTCTGGCTGATGGTTTGGTCACTTTAGAATGCTGGCGGTGCTTTCACTCTAGCGGTAGCATGAGACGGAGTCTACAACCCACACAAGTGGCTCAGGTAGTACAGCTCATCCACGATGGCACATCACTGCGAGCTGTAGCAAGAAGGTTTGCTGTGTCTGTCAGCGTAGTGTCCAGAGCATGGAGGCGCTACCAGGAGACAGGCCAGTACATCAGGAGACGTGGAGGGGGCCGTAGGAGGGCAACAACCCAGCATCAGGACTGCTACCTCTGCTTTTGTACAAGGAGGGACAGGAGGAGCACTGCCAGAGCCCTACAAAATGACCTCCAGCAGGCCACAAATGTGCATGTGGCTGGTCAAATGGTCAGAAACAGACTCCATGAAGGTGGTATGAGGGCCCGATGTCCACAGATGGGGGGTTGTGCTTATAGCCCAACACTGTGCAGGACGTTTGGCATTTGCCAGAGAACACCAAGATTGGAAAATTCGCCACTGGCACCCTGTGCTTTTCAGATGAAAGAAGGTTCACACTGAGCACATGTGATAGACGTTACAGGGTCTGGAGATGCCGTGGAGAACATTCTGCTGCCTGCAACATCCTCCAGCATGACCAGTTTGGCAGTGGGTCAGTAACGGTGTGGGGTGGCATTTCTTTAGGGGGCCGCACAGCCCTCCATGTGCTCGCCAGAGGTAGCCTGACTGCCATTAGGTACCGAGATGAGATCCTCAGACCCCTTGTGAGACCATATGCTGGTGCGGTTGGCCCTGGGTTCCTCCTAATGCAAGACAATGCTAGACCTCATGTGGCTGGAGTGTGTCAGCGGTTCCTGCAAGATGAAGGCATTGATGCTATGGACTGGCCTACCCATTCCCAGACCTGAATCCAATTGAGCATTTCTGGGACATCATGTCTTGCTCCATCCACCAACGCCACATTGCACCACAGACTGTCCTGGAGTTGGGGGATGCTTTAGTCCAGGTGTGGAAGGAGATCCCTCAGGAGACCATCCGCCACCTCATCAGGAGCATGCCCAGGTGTTGTAGGGAGGTCATACAGACTCGTGGAGGCCACACACACTACTGAGCCTCATTTTGACGTGTTTTAAGGACATTACATCAAAGTTGGGTCAGCCTGTAGTGTGTTTTTCCACTTTAATTTTGAGTGTAACTCCAAATCCAGACCTCCATGGGTTGCTAAATTTGATTTCCATTGATAATTTTTGTGTGGTTTTGTTAGCACATTCAACTATGTAATGAAAAAAGTATTTAATAAGAATATTTCATTCATTCAGATCTAGGATGTCTTATTTTTGTGTTCCCTTTATTTTTTGAGCAGTGTATAAATATTTATAATATTTACATACAAGCCATGCCCAGCCGGTCACATGACCACCAAGCTACACCCAAAAATTAGGCCACACCCACAGAACCAGTTAGTAGTCCCTGGGATCTAAAATTATGAGTTTGATGGTCCCTGAGATCCAAAAGGTTGGCGACCCCTGCTCTAGACCTCTTCACCTACACATTTCCATAATCCATTGTTCTTGGTTATGCAGACAGTAGCTGGCTAGTATGGAGGCCCAGACTATGATAAACCTGATCTAATTTAAAGAAATTATTTGGCCCTTCTTGTTAGTCTTCAGATTTGGTTCTTTTTTTTGAGATACTGGTGTCACATAAAAACAAGGTAGCAAGCACTGCTTTGGCCCTTGATCCGCAGGTGAAGTCATTAGAAAGAATGGGCTTATATTTGAGTTCACAACTTTAGGAATTCTGGTCAGTGTCCATAATAAAAGCTTGTACATCTTCTCTTGCTTGGAGAAATAGCTTCCTAATATAAAACTTCTTTCACCCTAGAAACCGGATGGCTTCTAATGCGAATCTCAAGCTGCACAAAGGGATTCTGCTGGAGGACGGCATGCCAGCTGCAAAGAAGCCTAGGTAGGTGGGATACTTTCAAATGGATCTCTGTAGCTGCTCATTTGGGAGTGAAAATAAACTTTGGCCCCTTCTCTGGCATGTGTGGGGAGATATTCTTCAAAGAACAGTTTTCCAGACTGAAATTCTGCACCTAAAAATCCTCTTTCCAACAGGCAGTTCTAATGTTTCCATTTTCATTTCACACAGGGGAATACTTTGTTTAGATCAGCTTCTATTTTTCCTCTGCTTTTGGTTCAGCGTAGCTAACACCAGGGTTGTTAGACTGTACAAGATCTCTGCTATCCTTTTTAGAACTGCAATCATTCTGGATGTTTTCCAGTCATTAGTTCACAATATAACTTACTTCATGGCACTCTTAGGAAGATGAAGAGGAAAGACCAAGTACTTAAAATCCTAAGAGAAAAGGCAAGAGAGAAATGTAATCATTAATTATGCTCACATCTTCCCTTCCATCCTCTTTGGCTGTAGGAAACTCCTGCCAAGTCTAAAATGCAAAAAGCCCCAGGATCTAGTCCTGGTGATTGGAACAGGCATCAGTGCAGCAGTGGCTCCTCAAGTGCCAGCCTTGAAGTCTTGGAAGGGCTTAATCCAGGCCCTGCTGGATGCTGCGATTGACTTCGACCTACTGGAAGAGGAGGAGAGGAGAAAATTTCAGAAGTGTCTCGAGGACAATAAAAACCTCATCCATGTTGCTCATGATCTGATCCAGAAATTGTCTCCTGTGAGTTGAGGCACCCAGGAGGGAATCTTTTGCAGGCTTGAAATAAAAGATATGCTTAAAATAGCTAATGGCCCACTAAGGATGGGTGGGTGGATGGTTCTGCAAATTTACAGCTGTCCGGTTGAATGTCATTGGCAGCAATGCTTTTTGTTGAAAGCAGAAGCACAGTTGACTCACTTACTTCCAGTAAGGCTAATGGTCCTGTTTTGAGTTCCACCCTCAAAGGAGGCTGAGCATTATGGCTGTGACTCCTCTAATAGTGTCACTGTGACACATTCTTCTGCTCATGGTCTTTAAACAGTAACATTAAAATGTGCATCCTTAGAAGATCCCCATACCTTACTTTTTAAAAAGCCAAAATTGGGTGGAGAGAAGAAGCCGGGCATCCAAACTAATTTGGTGATGGTAACTTACGTCAAGTTAAGGTATGGAGTCCGTTGATGTGTGTCACCTTTTCCCTACCTGAGGCCATTCAGGTATGTCTTCTCAATTCCAGTAACCACATTATTTAGGAAGATGAGAATTTGGAGTTCAGCACATCTGGAGGCTACACTGCGTGGGGCAGGTGGTATGAGATTCTGATCTTGGTGTGTCTCGTTGCCTTCGCAGCGCACAAGTAATGTCCGTTCTTCATTCTTCAAAGACTGCTTGTATGAGGTCTTTGATGACCTGGAGTCCAAGATGGAAGACACTGGGAAGCGGCTCCTGAGGTCAGTGCTTCACCTGATGGAGGACGGCGCCCTTGTCCTGACCACCAACTTTGATAACTTGCTGGAAATTTATGCAGCTGATCAAGGGAAACAGCTTGAATCTCTTGACCTCACCGATGAGAAAAAGGTAACGGTGTCTCTTTTCTTGTCCTAATCTTGTGGAGCAGTCTCCCATGAAAAAATAATAAGCCAAAAGTGGTAGGATTTGGAAACTGCACTAAGCAAATAGTGTTGTGGCTTAGCTTTATATACTAATACTGTCAAAATGCGTATATAGCTTGCTATGGTTCTCTCTCCGATAGTGAAATTCCAAATGAAAACTTTGCTCCAGAGAATCTATACACTACTGTTGATAGCTAAAATGTTGTATATTTGTATCGATAATAGAAGTTCCTTACCACACAAACAGTCAAAATAATGTCCTTGAAATTACACATTTTATTTCCTTTCTACTACTGAAATCTTGGAAACAAAGTGTCAAACTAACAAAGAGTGATAATGAAGTTGCTGTGATTCTAGAATGGGGATGTAGCCTTCTGGCTGTTGTTTCACTGCAATTTTCAGCCTACCATAGATGCTTATATTGAATAGGTCCTTGAGTGGGCCCAGGAGAAGAGGAAGCTGAGTGTTCTTCATATCCATGGAGTCTACACTAATCCCAGTGGAATAGTGCTTCATCCTGCTGGTTACCAAAACGTCCTACGCAACGTAGAAGTTATGGTGAGACTGACAGGTTCCTTTTAACTGTTGTTGACTTTGGAATGAAGATTGTTTGCAGTTTTTGAGTTTTGAGTTTATAAAAATTTAGAAATACCCATAGTGTTGGAGCAGCACATTTGAAATTGGAAGGGGAGAAGGAGACAATATATATAGATTCCTAAGGACTCCATCTCATCCCCAATTTTGCCCATCTTCAGCCTGCCATACTAGACTGGATATGCAGAGTTCCTATCCCTTATCATCCTGTAGAGAATCAACACTTTAAATCCTGGCTTCAAAAAAAAAACCTCTGGCCGTTTAATCAGACAGTCTGGAAAAAGTGGAGGGAAAAAAAACAAAACAGAAATGGCCAAACCAAATCACAGTTCCTGTGTTTATCTGCAGGGTTGATTCTGACTTGTTCCTGGCTTGCTTAAGACATGAATGGTTAAGATAATAATGTCTTGACTTTCTCTGCAGACCGTCAGTTCCTATTTGTCTCTGGTCTGATCTCCAAAACAGGTACAGGTGGAGTTTTAGAAATGGCTCCATATTTAGGTGGGAATGGGAACCAGTCCTTAGAATCTTCTCTCAGTACCTTGTAGAAGGTTTTTTTCATCATGCTATCTCGTTAATATTGAATCATCATACATTTGTATGGGTATTTGCAACAGCCTTCAAGCAGATGCTTTCACTGTAATTATCTGAGGGAGCTGGCTTTTTATTGTTTCATAATCCTAACTTTTCCCTTTTTTATGAAGATAAGAGACATTTTGTCTTTTTGTTTGCTTCTTTGTGTGCTTTGTCCTTTAAAGCGGGAGATCCAGAAGTTGTACGAAGCCAAATCTTTCCTGTTCTTAGGCTGTGGTTGGACTGTAGATGATACAACCTTCCAAGCCCTCTTCCTTGAAGCTGTGAAACACAAGTCAGATCTGGAGCATTTTATGCTTGTGCGTCGTGGAGATGTGGACGAATTTAAGAAGCTCCGAGAGAACATGCTTGACAAAGGAATTAAGGTCATCTCCTACGGAGAGGAATACTTGGACTTGCCAGAATATTTTGAGAGGCTGGCAAATGAGATCTCTAACTGCAATCAAGCAGGTAAGAAAACAATTATTTTAATCATGTTTTCCTATATTTATTGTGGTTTGTCAATGGTTGTGTGCTGACCAGAAGTCACTTTTTTATGATAAATAAAAATAAATATATTTTCTAACAGATGACTTTACTGGTGTGTCCAGAAATCCCAAAGACAAACAGAGCATATTCATTTCATTGATTTACAAATTTAGAATCTGCCCATCTCACTTTAGTGTGATGCTGGGTAGGGAGCAACCTGGCTTCTTAGGTGTGGCCTGCCTTCTCTGCAAGAGTTGCCTTTGAGTTCTTCTTTTTAATACGACAGATAGGGATAATTTATACAGTATTAACTCTGTTCTAAACAATATTTAAATGCAATGTAGGTTACAATTTATAACAATATAAATGACATACACAGTTTTATCTGGTTCAGATTGTATTGGACCTACCTGCTTTTTAGAAATTTAGACGCTGAGGTTTCCAAGTAGAGATTTAGTTTAGGTGCTAAAAATGCTTCTGGATTTCTTTTATATATTCTTAGACCTCCCACTATTTTTTTTTTCTCCCTCCCAGGTTCACGAAAGTGGGGACAACTGAATGGCACAAATACTGTGCATATTGAAAACAAAGGTACAGAACTTACTTAATATTCAGAATTCCTTGCAGTCAGCTGGGAAGATGAATCTTGCTAACCAGCAGCTACCACTCACACTAAAATTGTTTTGTTACGTGTGGTAGAAGCGTAGGACTAAACATAGCAGAAAGTACCTTACAGGGGATGGAAGATGCCCTAGGAAGAACGGCAGTAGATGCTTCCCTGCTTCAAAACTCCCAATAAGCCAGATTAAGGTGTTGTTTTGTGACGGTTCTGTTAGCAGAGACATGAAGAAAAGCAATAAATCCAATGGTTCTTATTGCCACCAAACTAATTTAAAAACTTTTGTTTCTTAGGGAGGAATACTTGTTAAAAAGGGAACTGCCATGTTTTACAGGACACCTTAGTTTAAGTAAGAACTCTCTGAAACCTGATTTGGTCAGGTGAAACAGATGGTGTGTTTCCCATGTAGAGAGTAACTAAGAAATATCCAGGTATTTGTCCATTCATTTGCCAGACATTGGACCAACTGGATGAGATCTACAGGACACATTGATACTGTTCTTGATAATTAATGCAGAAAACACTCCTGATCGTTTAATAGACCCTGATGCTGAGGAACAGGAAGCACATTCCACAACTTTTTCCCAGTTCTGTTCATTGCAAGATCCCCTTTGTGGAAAAAATACCTAGCCTGTTTTAAGCATCAAGAATCCTTAGGGGTGAGAGGTATCACTTCTGCTTTGAAAAGTCATATGATGCATGGAGGATCTGTATTTCATTTATAGACTAGTCCTCTCACCCATCTCTCTTACAAGTTTCTCAAAGCTGTCATTAAGTTACTACTCTGTAAACTTGAGGTTCTACAAGAAGTAGGGATGGATGAGATAATTGGTGGTTTGCCATATTTTGATAAACTTGAGCCTGTGCCTTTTCAGTCTTCTGGGAGCTAGAAGTTTCTAACTGTTTTCTGTTAAGTAGTAGTTTCCAGCCAGCCTTTTTATGATTCTCTGTATTCTTAGAATGTCTCCTTTCAGTAAGACAAACAACTGAAGATACTCAGGGAATAACTGAGAATGCTTGGTATGTTGCCAAAGCAAGTGGCATGCAGGTCCTGTAGTGATATGATTGCATGACAGCTGAGGAATTCTGGGAATTGAAGTCCACACAATTTAATGTTGCTGAAGTTGAGAAACACTGCGGTAGATTAAGCCATTATATCTCCTTCCAAGGCAGATTTTCCCAGAGATGAAGACATATTTATTCAATCTCATCTTGATATTCTGTAAAAATTTAGACTGAGCCACATGAACATTTTTTTTAAAAAAAGTGAAGATCTAATTTTCTAAATCTTTTATACTTTGTATAAATTTGAACCTGTGATTGTTTTAAAAAGAAGTTCACTTGTCTCTGATATATGAGCTTTATGTAAATTGTGTCTGCTAGTCATGATGGTAATCAATATAATATGCAAACAGTACTTTTGGTTAACTAACTCATGGTTTACATAACTACCCAAATTCTGGGTTGGTACAATAGAGTGTACTACATACTAAAATAATAGTTGACTAACTTGTGGTTTACCTGTTCAATGTAGTTGAATGATGGTCTAGCTTAGCTAGACCTATTTAAGTATATTTTGTCTGCTTTTATATATTACTAAATTGTGATTTTTAAAGCTATCATTTACTGATCAATCTAATCTGGTGGTGACACTAAGCCAAAAATAAATCAAATGAAGGGTTGATGCTTGTGTGTTAATTTGGTCTTTAATAGACAAAGTGGCAAAGCAACTGGATAAATAAAACTTTTCAGATTTTTGTTTCAACCTATCCAGTGAGCAGGTGGCCAGATGGTGGACGTAGTCCTTATTCCTGCTTGTTCAGATCAAACTACAGGCTTAAAGTAATGTGGGGATGTGTCAGCAGCAACAGCTCCATGAGTCCTGCTGCTTCAAAGCTGGAGGCCCTCCTAAAATCCTACAGATGGGCCTAGCAAGAATAGAACAGAAAGTGAGCAATCTGCACACCCAGAAAACCTGTTGATCACACTTGATCTGAGAAGCCGGCTTTTCAAATTCAGGAAGACAAAAAAAAGGTTTTAGAAATTTTATATAAATTTTCAGCAGGCAGCATTCAACTTATTGCACTAGAGCACATCTGCAATGCCGAGCTACCAAGGCGTCTTTGTAGAGAGACATTGGTGTTATTCAACATAGCACTTTATATCAGGATCAAGAGGCACTCTGAAAGGAGAAGGAAAGGTTGGGGGGGGGGGACACAGCAGGCAGCCACCAGGATTATCCCTAGTGGAGGAAGGGGAAGAAAGAAGCAGACAGGTTGATTTGGAAAGAAAAAGCCAGTGCAGATAGGATAGCATGCAGTGGCTCCTGCTGGCTGGTTGTGTATCCCTCCCCCTTGATGGGAGAGGTGAGGCAGTGACTTCCAGAGCCCACTTTTTTATGGGAGAAGAGAGAAATCATTAAATCCACCCCTTAGGCCAGAAGCTCACCTGCCAAAAATAAAATCCATACAAAGACTTATTTTTCCCTTTAAGGGAAGGACCCTGTTAGCTGGGGAAGGAGTCAGGTAAAGGAACTGACCTTAGAGAATCATCAGGAACACAACCAACTGCTTCTCTGGTGTGGATCAAAGATGGTGTGCAAAGATATACACAGGGTCATCATTCAAACAAGCTTAATGCATAAGGGGTTGATGAGAAAACTTTGTGAAGGACAGCCCTCACACTCATTACCACCTCCTCCGAGAACAAATGTACCCTTTCTCTGTTGTGGGTGTTTTTGGTCTGCAGTTGGGAAATTGTTGTGATCAAAGCCAGCTTATGAAGCATACAACATTTGCAGCCTCTATCTCTGCTCTACACAATAATCGGGGGCAGCTAATTTAACTTCTAGGAAAGAGCTATTTGTCCAGGCATCATCCCTTTGGTTTCTAATCCCCAGAAATGTAATCCAGAGTGTCTGTTCAGGCCTGAGGCAGAATCTGAGGTATGTCAGCCAGTCCAACTCTATTCCTCAACTCTTGTGACACTACTAACCCAGGATGAGTAGAGAGAGTGGCCAAGGGAGTGAGGGGAAAAAAGAGGCTTTACTAGACAAGGGAGCATGGAGCGAAGAGATACTTTAGGGTAGGGGTTTTGAGAAAGACTTGTCTCAAAGAACTTTAGAGCAGGACAGTCATTTTAAATAAGTGTAACACAACTGAAGACAGACAGCTCTCACTAAAATTAAACCCCATGCACTGCAGGGAGGAAAGTGTGCAATATGTAAAGAAATGAGGACAGTGGCTTTTGTTTTCTTCCCCTAGCACTCCTCTATTCTCTGTTGCACTATAACAAAAAAAAAGGTAAGAAAGCAAAGGATGATGGGGTGGGGGGGGGGGGGGCAAGCTTCCAGGAAAAGTCACATTGGAAAGCACATTCTAAGACATCGGCAAACAGGAATTTGGTGCAATGATGGGTGCTTAGGCCTTCATAAGAGCAGCAACTACAGCCTTGGCATTAAGGCTACGTAGGTCACAGTAGGTCTGTCCAGTTCCCACAAAGACAATCGGTTTGCTAGTGATGTATGTCATGGAGATTGCAGCACCAACCTGGGAAGGAAAGCAAAGGGCACCGTGTTACAGATCTTCAGGGGACCAAGCAAGTCAGGATAAATCTGAGAAGCTCTTTTAAACCAAGCAACCTTATATATCCCCATGGGTATAACTGCAGAGGGATCAACACTTTGGTTGCCATAATCAGCGTACAAAACAAACTGAATAGTATGGATTTTTTTTCCAGCTAGAAATGTAGCCCTTTTTTTTCTGTTCAGTGAAGCAGTGGCCCTCATATCAGGCAAGTGAGGCTTGGAGCTTTTTGTAATTCTTTTAATATTTGAGCCTTCCACAAAATTTGCCCAGGGGTCTAAGACACCTCTCAGCCCCTGCCAAAACATGTCAAAGGTGCTGCCTGCCTCAAGCAAGGAATTCAAATGACCCCACATTTACCTTGTCATCAATAGTGTCAAACTTGGTGAGAACAATTCCATCAATGAGACGTGGGGATTGAGCCATGGAGTAATCCGCAAGAGCTTTGTTAAATTTGACCTGAAGGGGAGTGGTGGAAGGGAAAAAAGGTTTGGAAAAATCTGCATATAAATACACTTTTATCTTTTGTTTGCATTATGTCTGGTAAAACCACATAAGTGATCTACAACCTAGTTCCTGAATGTAACACATGGCATGACAACCATTCAACGGAGAGATGGGTCAGGTTTTCAGCTTAATGTGAGGCTCAAATCCATTGTCAGCATCTCCTTCCCTCCTTTTTTGGGAGTTAAGGTAAAGGAAATGAATGAAGCCTCGCTCAAGGGTTCTTTTGGTTAACAAAAATCATGCCAGAAGGTTGCCAAATAGTGGAAGAGGCACAATCCTCAATGACTTCCAAGATCAGTAAAGTCACCTGGGAGTTAAACGTTTGCAAGTTGCTCATCTCTGGTTTATGGCTTGGATATTACAATTAGCTTTGATACTGTAATGTGAACTGAACTACTTGAGCCATCCTCCACAAATGACAAAACACTTACCAGCTGATCCACAGCTTCATTTCCCACCAGAGCTTCACCCACAAACAGAACAAGATCTGGGGTGTTAACTGCAATGAGCTTAGCCAGAGCTGTCATCAAGGGAGCGTTGTCTTGCATCCGGCCTGCTGTATCCACCAAAACCACATCAAAACCTTGGTTGCGTGCTGGCAAGGAAGAAAGATGGGTGAAACGGTGCGTCCTTGGTAAAAGGAATAAGGCTGGGTCAGAATGGTTTATATCAGGGGTGTCCAACCTTTCACCTTCCCTGGGCCACATTAGAAGATGAAAATTTGGTTTGGGCCGCACATAAAATAAAATAACAGTAACGATACCTGATCATCCCCAAAAACCATAGAAAACATAGTTAACATATTAAATTTATTTGGAAATGAAGTTAGTGAGATATTTTTATTATTTATTAAAAATTATTTATTTTTTATCACAGTTTTTTTATCACAGTTTATTTTCCGGCCAAATTTTGGGGGAGGGGGGGAGAAAGCTCCCCCGCCTCACGCCTACCTCTCCTCCTGCAAATGGCCCGGCTGGATGAGGCAGGACTGGAAGGCAGAAGCAGCAGCAGCAGCGGCGGGGGCAGAAGCCTTCCCCCGCCACCGCTGCTGCTTCTGCCCCCGCCGCCGCTTCTTCCCCCACCGCCACCGCCGCTTCTGCCCCCGCCGCCGCTTCTGCCCCGCCACCGCTGCTGCTTCTGCCCCCGCCGCCGCCACTGCTTCTGCCGCTGCCGCCGCTTCTTCCCCCGGTGGGGGCAGAAGTGGCAGCGGCAGGGGCAGCAGCGGCTGCGGCGGCGGGGGCAGAGGCGGCAGCGGTGCCGGCGGCGACAACAGCAGGAGGTGGCGCTCTGACGGCGCCCGCCTTTTCTCTTGCTGCTTGGCCTGGCGCTCGCCTCGCCCCGCCTCGTGCCTGCCTCTCCTCCTCCTCCTCCTCGCTGGCTCTGGCACGAAGGTTGGGGTGGGCACTGGGCCGCATTACGAGGCGACCTGGGCCGCATGTGGCCCGTGGGCCGCGGGTTGGACAAGCCTGGTTTATATTCTGTAGCACCCTCAGAGGTGGAGAGCAAAGGCAGGAGAAGAAATAAGGCATTTCAAGCACCAACATGATTGGGTGGGGCCAGAAATGTAATCGTGGACTGTGGGAGAGACCTTACCATACAAAATTGCCTCCATGGCAATGCCAGCTGCATCCTTCCCATATCCCTTCTCATAAAGCTGCACCATGGTGCGACCACTGTGGCTTTCTGGTGGATGCAGAGTATTCAGGCGGCGAGTATGAGTACGTAGTTGCTCCACAGCTCCGGCACGGAAGGTATCACAGGCAGCAATGAGGACACTATACCCGTTTTCAATCAGCCAGAAAGAAATCTGGAGGGTGGGCAGAAGAACACGAGCTTGCTAACTGCTCCCAGCACAAAAATCCAGTACATTAATAAATTAATATATTATCTGTAAGGGCAGGAGAATCCTCTTTCCTGCATTTTCCTCTGAAGTAGGCAGGGATCAAGAAAATTAGCAACATTTTACACCGTGCTTTAGAGCAGAAGACCTTAAGAAGCGGGCCTCCTATGTCTACATCGCCATAAAACGACTCGGTATGCCAGTCTGAAATCTTGGGATATTAAAGACTAGTCGATCAAGGGTCCAGTTGCTTACAAACAATCCAGTTGCCTCTACAATACCTTGGCCAAGTTGGTTGACTTCCCAACTCCATTGACGCCGCAAAAAGTGATAACGTAAGGTCTGCGGTGAACCTTGGCATCCATCACATCACGCAAGACGTCCACCCGGCGCTGAGGCTGGAGGATCTGCACCAGAGATTCTTGAAGGGCTTGCTTCACAGTTGAGGTCACCGCTGGAAAATTAAGCGAGCAATATAATTATGATGTACTTTTGTAGAAATCTCTCCATACCCCATTACAGAAGTGGAGAACAGAGACAATCAGGGACAAGACTGATCAAGGATACCCAGCAAACAACAAACTGAACTACAGCCCAGTTACTCTCTTGAGCATGCTCCAAATGTAATGTTTCTGTGCAGGTATGTCCTTCCACCATCATCAAAATATACCCAAAACATTTGATATTTTGGCTGATGATTTCTAGTTGGGAATGGAATAGAGCCAACAGAAATCACTACAGACTGGTACACTTGCAGTATTGCTCTACTGCAGCGGTCCCCAACCTTTCTGTCTTGGTGACCCGATGTTGGGAGCAGGGATGGTTCCATGTGAGTGGCAGGTGTGCAAGGAAGAGTGTCCATCTTGTACAAGTGGAGCTGGGTTCTGAACGGCTATGGCCTGGT